TGATGACAACATATATTTGTCCAATCAAATAGTTGCACTTAAAGAGGGACTCGAAAAATTGTCATGCAAACAGTGTAACCAAAGAGAGACACGAGAAAATAACCATGGGGGTTCAATCAATGGCATCATGTAATGCCCCCTTGATAGTGCCCAAGTAGTGTCAGTAAATAGTGACAATAATAGATTGACTCTAAATGATGACAATATATATTTGCCCACTTAAAGAGTTACACCTAAAGAGGGATTCAAAAAATTGTCATGCAAACAGTGTCACCAAAGAGAGACACGAGATAATAACAATGGGAGTCCAATCAATGACATCATGTAATGCCCCTTTGATAATGCCCAAATAGTGTCAATAAAGAGCGACAACTAAACTATTATTTGATGTTACTATTTTTTGTGGAGCGTGTTACTATTTGATATTACTATTTTTTTGTTGAACGTGTTACTGTTTGATATATATGTGTGTGTGTGTGTGTATGAAATTTCAAAATTCAAATGATACACAAATATCAAAAAAAATCTTAAAAGTCTCACATTCTAATTTTTAGATATTAGAAATGTAAAAGTTGTCAATTAGGTATGTACTATTTATGGTAAGGGTAATTATGGAATATATTTTAGAAAGAATTTGAAAATATTTTAAAATGTGTACTTATTGACAACTATTTAATGAAAAAAAAAAGACTTAAAGGAGATTAAGTTTGGAGGTGGTACTTAAAGTCAAATATGTTTTGAAAAAAATACTCACATCCTATTATTTCTTTTTTTTTTCTCTATACTGTTGGGCCAACCCTCTCCCCCCCCCCCCCCCCCCCCCCCCCCCACCCCCCAAAAAAAATATATATATATATAGTTAGTGTCTTTAGATTTTTTCAATTACATTAGTGCTAGATGGTCTACTATAAATTCAAATTAAATCCACCCAAAATACCATGTTTAAAAAAGCCATTTGCCATTTGCCATCGCTTCAAAAGTATACAATCCAGTTAATGAGAATACTATCAATGAAATTCTGAAACCAGCTGAAGTACAGACTTCAACCAACCATTGAAGATAGAATGGACATTGGTACAATGATAAAATTACTGGATTGTGACTTCGGCATCTAAAGTTTAAATTGTAAAAATAGCTTTTCCTCGTATGAGGTTAAGGAAGCATAGATTTGACCCTTAGTTTCCACAGTGATGAAAATCTTGTATATTGGACCATTTTTTTAACTAGCTAGTGATCAACCACAGATAGTGGTCCTTGTCAAAACAAGGATTGGTTGGATGCCAGAGATGAAAAAAGAACATACTACCACATTATCAAACCCACTTATGAACCAGCTTTTAGACACCTTCTCCCTCCCCCCCCCCCCCCCCCCCCCACCACCGCCGGGGGTGCGGGGTCGTTTAGTTGAGCACCACTCTTTTGGCAGCAATCACATAGTCAGATGGCTTTCCCAGACAATGTCAATCCAATTCTCCACTCTTCAGTGAGAGAAGGGACCATCTAGAACATGTTATTTTCTTTTCTAGTCAAAATGTCCCACAAACTCAAAACTCACGCAGTAAAGTGATATTGAAAATGAATGCTACAAAAAAAAAATGGAAATTCAACTACCAGAGAAATCTTTTTGTTGAACAATGCCTACCTACAAAAGGATCAGTCTACCCAACCTATGCTCAAATCATCAACACACGCCTTTACATGATTCTTGAGGCCACTTTTGACCCGATGATTCTCAAGCCCTGATGCCTATATATTACAGAACTAACCTGATTAGAACAAATTTTCAGGCTGGTACGTTGACATAATGCCCAGTTTTCCGTCTATGCCGACTAAAATCCGATACAAACCTGAAAGTAAGGCCACATCCCTCAACCTTGCACTCGTAAGGCCGTGCCCCCGTGTGCACCCGTAAATGCTCAGTCCTAGCCCACGCCCACTTAAATGACATGGTGCAACCCTTCCATGGACATTTGAGTGGCCTATCATCATCATGAACACGTTGGTGAAGCACTGCATATTTGTGGGAGCTGAATTTCTTCCTGCATCCTTCATGGGGGCATTGGTTTCGTTTGTGCAATACTAGTTCTGCCTTAGTCTGGAACCTCATTCGACAGCCTTCTAGATCACACTTTTGGGACTCCCTCTTGTTTTCTCTCTTATCCTTGTCGGGAACTGAACCATCTGAACACTTCCTTACCTTCCTCGTAGCTGGTCTCTCCTCAGTGGTTTTGTTACTGTCAATTCCACTTCTATTTGCATCTTTCCCAGCCCTTGGCCGAAGCCTTTCACATGGACTCCTAATAAAGTCATTGAAACCAAAAACATCTTTTGTTTGCAGCTCAGCTTTTCTTTTTCTTTTACTTCCCTTTTTCGCAGTTGACCTATTGAGTGCTAAGCTGGAGCTAGTGTTATCCAACTCTCCCTTGTCCTGCAAAGAACTGTTCTCACCATCACTCTGCAATTCCTTATCAACCTGTGTCTCTCCGGGAACTTTAAGACATCCTTCCACCAACACAGGAGACGACTCATCTATCAGTGTAACATTACCACGAACGGGGTTGTTGTCATTGGTTTCATTTGCAATCAGATTGTCTTGCAGAAAATTACTATCCAAAGTCACACAATCGTGTACCTCATTGTTCATGCAGAATTTCTCCGCAACTGCTTTCTCCAACTGTTCAGCAAAATTTCCCACAGGAGGGTCATCAGCACATGACGATGAGGGATTAGCAGGACAAGGGACCTCTTCCATTAAAACATCTCCATAACTGTTTCTAGTCCGAAGTTCTAGATGCATATTAATATTGAGAGTCGCACAGTCATGTACCTCATCGTTCATGCAAATCTTCTCCTGAACTGGTTTCTCCAACAGCTCATCAGAACTCCCAACAGAAGGACCATCAGCACACGACCCTAGGGAGGTCGCAAAATCAGAGACCTCTTTCATTAAAATATCTCCATCAGCCTGGACCTCACATTTCCCCCCATAATCATCTGCAGTCTCTGGTCCACAAGCTTCATTTGTCATGATGATGTCCTCCGTAATTTGATCATCTGTCACAATTTCAGTTTTAGTACTTTGAAGATCAGCTGCAGATGAACCAGCTGATTTTTCAGAATAGCACCTCTCATTTTTCTCGCTGCTTCCCTCGACAACTTTGATCACCTGGAAATCATCCCATGTAGAATCACAAGCATTGTCTTTCAGGGTCATTTCCTTCAACATAATCTGTGTCACAACGCTTTCAATAATCGGAATGGCAGTAACAAATGATTCTGTAACTTGTGATGGAACAGAATTCCCGCTAAGATCCCCAGTTGTTACAAGCTCCTGACTGTCATGCTGCAATTCAAATTTTCCACTGAGGGCTGACTCCACCAGCCCTGAAGACCTATTACCTGTATCTTCAACTTTACTGTTCTGCGCGGCAATGTTTTCAACAACAGGACTGGTAGCAACAAGTGAATGTGTAACTTGTGCTGGAACAGAATTCCAATTAAGAGCGCCAGTTGTTACAAGCTCCTTACCGTCATTCTGCAATTCAGATTTTCCACTGAGGGCTGACACCACCAGTCCTGAAGAACTGTTTCCTGTATCTTCAACTTTACCAAGATTGGTTTTAGATGTCTTTCTGCAATTTTTATCCGGATTTTCATACTCAGCAGCTGAAACTTCAACCGGCAGATATCTAAGCTCTACAGAGGCCTCACTTTCTCCTGCAGAACCACAAGACTTGGACTTGTTTCTTCTTCTGTACTGAATAATTTTGCCTTCTTTTCTAACCATTTGGCCATCTGACTTCGCTCCTAAATCTTCATTTTTCTTGATTTGAATGGCCTTAGATGGTAAGCTGTGGGTTGGACGATTTGAAGTTTGTTTTGAGCGAGATTTTCTGGATTGCCACTTGAAACTTAGGGCACTTGGACTCGGAGTTGTGTGACTTGAATCAGAGAATAACCCATTCAATGACAATGCATGCTGCACTTTCTTAGACGGAATATTTTTCCTAACCTTCACACAGTGCTGTAAGTTAACACCCAGTCTTGACGTCCAGTCTTCTCCACATTCATCCTGATCTTCATCGTCAATTGCAAGATTGATCAAGTTCAGATCCTCATGGGATGCATTATCCAATGAAATCTCATTATAATTGAAAGGGCTACCAATCTCCTCTGCGATAGCAGCAGCATGTGCCTTTATTTTTTGGAAGTCTACACAAACCAAAATATGCACATAAGTGTAATCAAGTAACCAACATAGTTGCAATTGACAGAAATATAAATGACTCATGATTTTTTTCCCTTTATTTCTCCTTATTGGCTGACAAGTGCATTTGTATGCACATAAACAGTTGGTTTTCAAGACTTAGAGTTGAGTATCATGAAGTGAAAGTGGATTCTTAAACGACAGTACCACACTTAAAAAAAATATTAGGGTTAATGGCACTTTGCCCCCTCAGCCCTCATCATCACACACAGTCACAACATCCTGCATCACTCGAGAACAAAATAATCAATCAAGACAGTCTTTTCCAGTAAACAGAACGAATTTGCTTATACTGGCAGATTTTATAGCCAAGGATATGAAGTAGATAGCAATGACGGTATGTATGTGATTGTGTGGCGGAAGTTTTTGGGTGTCCAGTGCTGTCTGCTGTGCAATGGTTTTGGCATCTGTGATGGTGGTGGGGTAGCCGCCTTCGTTTGGTAATTAGGTTGTGCATTGTGGTTTTTGGTTGGGAATCAGTTGTTTTTGGCAGAGGGATGGTTGTTGGTGATGGTGATTAGGTGACTGGTGGTCAGATATGCCAGTGATGCATGGTTTTCTATGTTGATTCAGCCAAGAAAAGGGCGATGGGGCTGATCGATGAAGAAAATAGAGGGCAATGGGACCAGGCAGCGATCGGGACGAAGGGGCCCTTCAGGGGCAACAGACTTCGAAGAGGTGGGAGTGTAGACTTCTGGGTGAATTTTTTTTCCCCGGGGTAGAAGCATTGTGAAACAATAAAAGTATCCTAAAATATAGATAAAATTACATTGTACCATACATCGTCCCTGTAGCATCAGATGGAACAGGATTACCAATAGAAAAAAAAAAAAGTCATTGTCTGTCAATGGGGACACAGCAACAAATTTAGTGTATGAAATGGTAATATTAACCTTTTTAATTTTGAGGTGGTAAAGATCAATTAGTCGCGAACTCTAACAGGCAAAGTATAGTTAACTGTCTCCATTATTTCCATTTGGACATATTGAAACCAGGTTAACAGAAACTAACTTAGCTCCACTATGTTTGGGGTTGTTTAATGACCTTGCTGTTTGTGTAATCAATATTATGCAGACCAAGCATATATCCTCACCTGAATGGCAAATTACAAGCACATTTGCTCCACCTTTGGAATGCAAGAGCTCTTCAATTTGAATTGCGTGCTCCAGGCAGAATATTCGAGGTCTTAAAAATCCACTAGACGTGTTCCAACCCTTTTCGAACTTTCCTTCTGAAGTAACTGTTAGATCTTTTAAAGATGGAGAATGATCAGACACTGGAGATTTATCTTTGACACTTGAAGACGCTCCATTTGGATGTTGCAAGAAATTGCTGTTATTTGGTTTCATCTTGCCAGTTGCATCCATCGAGAAACTGTAAGCATCTGTTGAGGATTTTTCACCATCTTTTGTCAACTTAAACTCGCTCCCAGACTTTGGGGTTCCACTTGCTGTAATAAGCCCGTTGCATGCTGAAGAAATTTTTTCCTTATGAGATTTATCTTGGCAATCAAGTCCCTCTGCACAATAAAAAATGAACACGCCTTCTAATTCTCTACAAATTGAGATAACTAGTGACATTTATAATTTAAGGTTACAGAGACTTCCAACTTGTTCATAGTCTTCAAGCGAAACAAGAAGTTGGTTCACGAATTTAATAAATAACTAAAAAAACCACGTAATAGCATTAATTATCCTTTTTTTGGTTTGCATTAGCATTATTCTAATTATGATGAACAGTAGTATGACAACAGGGAACAAGAGCGGGAAAGGTTAAAAATAAAAATAACAAATGAAAAATAACCTCTAATCGACAGTAAGTGTGGTAAGCAGTTCTAAAGCAACAGAAACCAAAGTATTAGGTTTCTTATGACTTGACCAGCAGCAAAACTAGAATCATAACCATACCAAAACAAAACACCTGCACAATGAAGCCTAGCAAGAGGGATGAGAGCCCACTCTCTAAGAAATTTGGAATATTCAGCAATTTATATACCATTTTTCCAGAACATCCAATCAAAGAAACTGAATCATAAGCACATCTCACATCAAGTACCAGCTTTAGATGCTATTAAAATTCAAGTTGAAAATCAATTCTTACTAATGTCCTATCTCCATTGACCAGATTTAGCGCACAGTTTATTATACAAAATAGCCAAGAGTATGACAAACAAGGAAAAAAAAAAAAAGAAACAAGATCAAGAAGAAAATACAACAATACCATCAGACAAGACCAAGTTTATGGAGCTTATACCTGGAACAGAACCTTCTACCATGCCATCGAGGTCTAAAGATGAAAGAGACTCCGCAGCCTTAAAACCACCAAGATTTTGAATCATTTGATGATCTACAGGCAAAAGATCCAGTGACGCTTTCTCAGATGGCTGTACAAGAGACATAAATGGAAACCCAAGAATACCACAGGCCACACATGGTAATGTCCCAGAATCGATTTGAAAATCACATGACACATCATCATCATCCACATATAAATCATTCACAGTTTCCATATACAACCTCATCTGGCTATATAGATCCTCACTATTATCTTTCTCGGAAGAAACATTTTCCCCCGCTGTGATAGCAACATTAGCAGTAGTGCTGCACAATCCAGATTCTTTACGTGAAGATGGTAGTGAATCCAAGTCCCACAATACTCCATGGTAAGACAAATTTTTCCGAAGCAGAGTGGTTAACAGATTGTTTTCAATTAAGATATCTTGTATGCATGCTTTCTTTACTAAAAGCTCTCTTTCTTCCTTCTGACGATCTCTCAAGCGAGAGCTTCGTGCCCCTGGAAGTAAGGATCTTGGCACTCTGTCATCAAGCAATTCCAGCATGTCAAACTTCTGACATAATTCACACTTAGGAGCTCATTTGACATCGTTGTTAACAGGCTCAACAAAGAAACACAATTCATGACATAATAAAAAGAAAAATAAGCATGAGTCAATAAGCGAATAGATTCAAATGAATACACAGTCAGCTGTAAGGTCAGAAGCTTTAATATGCTTCATTTCTTTAGGTTATGCCAAATGAAATCCCAATGAAGACAGTTAGATGCACGACTTCTCCCTCCTAATTAATCTGTGAATGCTTTTAACTGAACAGTAGACTCAATATCAAAAAGGTTAAACATATCCAACTGCTTTGATTACATATCAAATATAAACTCAGGAAAACTGAAAGCCAGCTTCTTAACAATGAAATAAAATCTCTCAAATATGGCGGAGGATCTAAATTCAATAGGGTTAATTCCGATGGACCTCCCTGTCTTTTGGACAAATTACACATTATCCCCCTCAGCCTTCATCTGTAATACTAAACAACCCCTACAAACAAACGACAAAAGCAGAAAACTAACCTTTCCTCTCAAAGATACTGGTGCCTGTGGACTTAATGCTTTGTTTGGTTGGCCAAAATACACTCACTCAGTTTCTCTTCTAAGTACAATTATATCATTTTCATGATATTTCATATTCTATTTTCCCACCAGCCTCAGCCCTCCTTCCACCACAACCCCACATGCAACAGCACTATACACATCATTAAATTCACCACCATCCCCACCATCAAAAGCCATATATACCCACCATCTATGGCAATCATCAACACCACCACCTTGCACCGTCATTCATTGCCAACATTAAAAGCATCACAAGCCCCAAATGCATCACCATCATTAGCAGCACCACTTGATGACACTATCCATCAGCCATCACTACCATGATACCATCAAAACCCTAAATATGCATCACTCAGTACCACCATCAAGACCCCTCACCACCAACTCTTCTAGAACCACCGAGAACAGTTCCACCCTCAAATTCAATTTTTGTTTCCCTGTCCCTCAATATATTTCAATATCGCCAACTTTGTAATATAAAGGATAATTAGGCCTTTATTTATCAATACATTAAAGCTTATTTTTCTCCAAATTTCTTCTTAGTTTTTTTACTTGTTTTGTAGGAAATCAGGTGATAAGATTGGAGAAACCAGGTGTAAGAAACAAAGAACTCTCCACTGTCATAGGTAAAAAGAAAAAAGAAAGAGAAAGAGGGAAGAATAAATCAAGAAAGCAATAGCTTCACCATTTGTCAATCTACGCCACCAATAGCAAAGTTTCCCATCTCCCTAGTAATGTCGACATTTCTCTGATCCAAAAACCAATAAGCCAAGCTCCCTCAAGTCCAAGTAGTAGCTCATGACATAAATGTGAAGTGTTCTTTGAAATTGATGCATGTAACATATGCCACAACCTCAGTTAATACCAGAACATGACACCAAGGGATAAAAAAACACAAACAACCATTGCATCGTGATCTGCTGAGATGATTATGATCCTTAAACCCCAGAACAGAAATTGTTACACAGATGGGTTCTAGTCTTCTGACAAGAAGAACGCATACCCTGAACTCTTTGTTTAATAGAAACCATAAAAAAATGGGGAAAAAAAACTGGCAGTTTTTCCCATAGGACATTGCGGCCACATCTTTTTTTTAAGAAGCTTTGCGAGTGTGTTTCATTTGAGTGCACCAAATCACAGCTGGGTAGTAAATTGCCAGAGGACCCCATCTTCCCCACCCCCTTATCCCCTCCTTTCTTCCTAAACCCACCACTCCCCCAACACACGCACACACAAAAGATAAAAAACGAAAGCAAAGATGAAATGCGACTTAAGGCACACAATGCTATGTCGGCTAGTCCGAACTCCTCAACCAGAAATTGAAAAGAGAAAGACAACAAGTGCTTATAAAGGAATCATGGTCCCACTACCCCTCAATACTGTAAGGTAAAAGTCATATAGTTCTCATTTTGCAAAACCCCTAATTAAATATTACCTTCCATGGGACAAAACTCAGGGCAAAGCTTTCACCTTAGGAAATATTTCAAAAGATCTCGAGCAGTAACAGAAAAGAAAAGGAAGGTTGACCAGTTGTTCAAGAGTGGAAGTAGAACTTGCAAGAGAACATTATATTTGAAAAGCCAGTATTTAGCATCTCAAAACGTTGAAAATTGAAATTAAGTAACCTTCTCAACAATGCGAATGATCATCAACACCATGGCCAAAAAGATTATAAAAGATATTAAGATTCCAGAGTGAAAGAGTTTGTGAAAGTAAGCATTAGCGTGTAAAAACTGTGCAATTAGAACTCTTGCACAGATTGAATGAGCAAACAATGAGATAAAAGGGAAAATATTCTTTTCCACTAATAAGCAACAAGATGAAGGGTGCGTAGCCAAACCAGGATCCTTACGAAAAGAAAACAACAGCTATTGCAAATGTAAATTATTTGCTTCTAGAACTCAGGAAAATTCAAAGGACTTGACAACCAAACCATTCTAATGGAACCCAAGATTTCTTAAAATGACAAAACTCTACAGTAAATAGCGCTGAGTGAAATTTTTTAATAATCACTCATGGTATCAAGAGCCAAATCGCCTATAGTCCACTGCCACAATACCAAGTGTGAATAAAGTAATGAAAGGCCACGCCACATTAAAACCCTCTTCAAAATGAACTTCATCTGCTCAGTCCGCAAACACTGTCAATGGGGCAACAGGATATTATACGTAGGATTTCACCACATAGTCACTGTGTAGCATTAACCAGCTTGTCATAAATCTCCAATCACATCCACTTAGAGAGACGCGCAATAGAAGAAGCAATGCACATACAGCAAAAGAACACTTCCAGGACTTCAACATCAAACCCAACGGATATAATATCACCTACCCAATCAACCCCAACGATGCATTTAGAACTTATAGAAGGAAACCAAGGAGGAAGTACAACATTTCTATATGGCCAAAACAGTTTAGAGAGGAACAAAAGGTGTGACTAACAGACTAATAAAACTAGGCCAGCTAAAAATAATGTCCTGGCTTTTGTACGGTATAAACATAGAAATCCAATGGCTGGCTTGTTTCTGTGTTGAGAGCAGTAAACAGTCAGCTCCTAGGTCTGGTTCTGCACTTGCATTCATGAATGTACCTTCTAATCACATGCAAACCTACGGATTCATTTATCTCTTTAGTTTGTCCCACAGTAAGTTACTTCACCAACATCACATCCTTATATGTTCATTTTTTTCCCAGCAAACTTAAAGAATATCTATGTAAGTGGGAAGGAAAAAGCCAAATTCCAAAGCTAGGAAGCTGGAAAAACATTCACATAAGGCAGAATTCTGGCAAAAAAGAATAAAAAATCTTGCCTCTTTGTTCTGGTTTAGTCCAGAACACTTCAATTTGATTCCAATCATATTCATGAGAATCAAGACTATGACGCTATGAAGGTTAATTTATCAAGTCTCTTAACCATAGTGGGTAGTATCGTACGATACGCGATACGTATCGTACGATACACTTGAAAAACAATACGTATCGTATTTCTGTATCGTTTTTGTACCGTATCATACGATACACAATACGATACGATAAGATACGCCCGATACGTGACAATTCTATTTTTTTTGTTTTTTTTGTTTTTTGGTATTGAAATGATATCGTCTTACCCTAAGACTTATTTTTAAATTACAAGCTAGTAAAACAACGTCATTTCAATGGTTATAGTTTAAAAAAAATAAATAAAGTCTAATGTTAATGTTGTTCAATTGAATTCAAAATTTCTAATTAATATTAAAATTGTTCATGCAGTTGATGTTAGAAGTTTGAATTAAGACATTTTAATATTACTGAACTATGTTGAAAACTTGAATAGTTGGTGGAATATTAGTGAAATACTATGTTATTATGAGTCTATAACTTTTTTATAAAGGTATATACATATATTTTATTAATAATTATTTAAAAATTAAAATTGCGCATATCTTATGATACACGATAGATACGATACATTATTTTTACAAAAAGGTACGCCTTCCGATACACGATTTAACAACTATGCTCTGAAGCATAACCCAAAGCCAACTTCAAGAAACACCTCATCCAATAACTTGGTTCCCATATAGGAGGCGCAAAGAAAAAGTATAAGCTAACCTTGAAACAAAAGACATGGTCAACAGGTATAGCAGTTGTTGATGGGAAAGCATGGGAAGATAATTCATAGCAGCTCTCCGCACTGCAGCTTCCTTAGCTACTGTAAGCCACTTTGGAGTACCAAAATTTGCAGCTTCTCCACAATTAAAACCTAGGTTGAAAAGATTAAGTGAACTAAGAATTCAAAACAAGAAATAATAAACAAAGGTTTCAAAAACATCTCACAATATTGGCTCAGCTAAGAAGTAAAATGCAGCATAAAGGTTATATAAAAGCAAAGAAATTAGAAGTAGAATTACGCATGTCTAATCATGAATACTCAACCCAACTCAACAAAATCTTATCCCAACGTTTTTGGCATCAACTACAAGAATCCTATTTCACCATTAAGCTCTATCAAGGACAATGTTTCTAGTTAAACCATAAATAATCATATCTTTCTTTACTATTTCATTTAAAGTTAATTTTAGTCGCTTCTGCCCCTACGTTTACCTTCAATAACTATCATATCACTCTTTTTCACTGGTGCCATAGTAAGCCATCTATAAATATTTTTAAACCACTTATGTCAATTTTCCCTTAACTTATCTCATACATGTACTACCTCTATTTTTTCTCTGGATATATTCGTTCCTAATTTTATATTTCCTAGTTTTACAATACATCCATCTTAACATTCTCATTTCTGCCACACACAACTTTTGGACATGTTGTTTCTTAGTTGCCTAACACTTAGTACCGTAAAGCATAGCCGTCTTATGGTTGTCCTATAGAATTTTCCTTTAAATTAAGAGGTATTTTTCTGTCACACAATACACCGGATGCATTCCTCTCTAAGTCCATCCAACATTAATTCTATGCATTGTCTAATAATGAATATTACAAATAATTAGTAATATTGAAACTGGGAACAATAACAAATGATAACGACCACTTGCCTCATGTTATAATGGAGTATATAACTAAAATATTGTACCTGACAAAGTAACCCATTAAAACAACTTTTATTCCACAAATTAGATGTAACTTATTAGCTAGAGTTGTGTGCTTAATAGATACATTAATCAAATATTAAAATATGAGAATCACGTGATTAAATTTTTTTTAGAAAATTAGAACGACGTGCAAATGTTATTGAACCAAGTAAACAGTAATACATCGTAGGGCCACCACCATTCTAACTGAAGTAAAACCATTCTCGACTTTCTATTCAGAGCAACACCCGTATTTGCTAATAGTTGCAAAGTAACATTGACAAACATAATGTATAAAAAATGAAAACCCCCAACCAAATCCTTCTATCAATGGACACTTTTAGAGTTCTTATTTTAGTTATTAGTTGTAATTAGCAACCCAAATATTATTGTTATTACTTGTTACTATTTCAACTTGGTATCAGAACAAATCAACTGAGCAAAAACCCAAAAAAAAAAAAAAATTCATAACCTAAAGTTCCAAAAGAAAGAAAAAAAAAAACTGCTCTAGTCATCGTTGCCATCATCATCTACAGTAGTGACGTGATGCTGACATTAGCCTTTTCCAACAACAAAGCACCCTGTGGGACCACTCCTCCTACTAGTATTTATGGTGATTTTTGCCAAATTTTTTGAGATCGTTTTAATTGCTTTTTCTATT